AGAGAGCCAAAGAAGACAGCTGAAAATAAATACAATACATCTCGTATTGCATAGACATAACAGCATTGTTATTGGAAGTTATCTTGAAAGTTAGGAATGGTAAATGACTGTGGATGTACCATTAGGTAGAACATTTAAGAATGCAGCTTGTAAATTGGAGGATAATTTTTTTTGTACAGCACACCTGTGTTATTTAAAGCACCCTGTGCTAATTTACTCTTGAACTGAGCAAACAATAATGCCGCTAAATGTATTTACTTTTCTGAAACTGAAAAATAATTGGATCACTCTCGGCGTTCCAAGGAAATTAAATACGGCAATGCGGCAGGTCAGTGGGCTAAACTATTACTGGCTACAGAAATTGCCACCTTCGGTAAAGTAACGAAAATATCGAACTACATTCGAGTTGAATGATTTTCAGTGACCTACTTTTGCACGTCTACAAATAGAATGGCCAATGTTTATGTTGGAATACGTTGTTGTTATTATAGTTATATGAATGATTTCATTAACAATTAATTGTGACATCAGTTGAATCTCCAATAAATGTACTTCATTTAATACATATTCTACATTTAGTGAGGCTAGTATTTTCATTGTGTAATAATAAGAATTCAATCAATTTGAATGGAATTTATTTCATAACTAATAAAAAGGAGGCAAAAACATTGACGATGAGAAACATCAGCGGAACATCAAAGATTTTGTGATGCATCACCAAGGGGTTGCACTTTTTAATGCATCATCTTCATACATTACCGTGTTGCAGTGTTGCTTGGGAATTTGTATAGGATTAGGTATAACAACCTTTGATTATGATAATAAACATACTTTAAGGAAATTATATTGTGCCACACCTGTCTAATTTACACAATTAACGATTTAAATCCTAGGCCACTACACAGCGCCAATGAGATGACCCCTTAAATGTGACCCTCCATTGTGTTAACTTGTGACATTTTTGTAAATATCTCATCCTCAGGTAGTAGCATTGTGTGTTTCTTGCAAGCGCCGACGACACAAGTTCCCGCCAATTCTTCTGATCTTTCGCCCCCCTTCTCTGCTGTTATTATTGCTAGATCCCATCGTGCCAAATCTCTTGTCTACTCTGTCTCCCCAGCGGGTCCTCGGTCTTCCTCTGTCTGTCTTTGTTCTGCCGTATATCAGTTTCAATTGCATCTTTTTTCAATGTCACCTGTTTGTGGGATCGGTCCTAAATAGACGCACAAGCCAACGTAGTTTCTTCTTTATTGTAATACTGACTGCCTCTTGTCCCATTCTCTTTAAAATTATGTTGTTGCCTAATTGTATTTTCCAGTTTTATTCAAAGGATCTTAGATAGGCAACGCTGTTAAAATGTATCTAAATCATCTGCACTCGTTGACCGAATCCCTGCCAGATGCCATGCCAGTGGTGAGGATGGTTTGACCATACTTTACCTTACTGGTCAATATGGGTTAGCGAAGAGGACTCTGGACTAGTTCAGATGTAACTCTTCCACTGATATTAACCCCCACTGGGAATTTAACTCAGGTGGGCCGGTTCATAGCTCATTGTACTCACCACGACTCTACCACTCCACCTTCACGATGTCAATTTCATGTAATTCTATTTAAGGTTAATGATGTTTTGATTATGTTTTTATCTCGTATATAAAATATCAAATATTGTTTTCATGAAACAGGAGGCTAACAGTGCATCGCTGAGCACTTAAATCGTCTAAGTATTAATTCGACCTGCATTAATCATGTGGTGACATTTTCGCCCACTTAATGACATTACTTGTTTACAAAAAGAAATGCGTATATTCATAAATATATATTTGGGTAGAAATAAATTGAATAGTGTAACGTACTTCATGCAATCATATCTGTCAGTCCATACTAAAGACCCCCTCAAAGCAAAGTTTATTGTGTTAACTGCAGAATATGTATCACTGAGTACTTTATTAATTGGCTGTGTTGCATGGAAGAGGGTGTAAGACACACATTCTATTTTGACTTAAAGCTTTCGTGACTGCAGGAATTAATATTCTTTGGGTCTTTCGGTTAAGGATCTTATTGTTATTTTCTTTGAACCTATCTACGTGACTTTACCGAAAGACCCAAAGAATAGACACATTCTACTCACGATATATGACCCAAACCCCATCGTAATATTGGTCATGAAAGCCTGCAGGCTTAAGGCTCTCAAGGTACACAGAAAACCAGCTTCATCGTTACCACTGGCCAATATCCAGGCATTATCATTACTACTCTGCTCTGTTTAAACCAGGGGTGGGGAACGTCTGGCCCGTGGGCCGTTTGAGGCCCGTGAAATCATTTGGGTCTGGCCCTGCCAAAGCAACCGCAGGCGGGACTCTAAATTCAATAAATCTCAGGAGCAAACCTGGAAAAGCAGTTGCGAGCAGCAGCAACATCATCAATACCAGCTAACATCACACGCCTCACCAAAGAGAAGCAGTTCCAGCCATCACATTACGGGTGAGTTAATTAAATGTTTGACCAAATATAACAGGATCATTTTTAAGTTGATAATTTTGTATGCCCCACGAATGATGTTATAAATATCCAAATGGCCCTTGGCAGAAAAAAGGTTCCCCGCCCCTGGTTTAAACAGTAAACAGTTAAGACGTAAAATGTCAGTGTCTTAAATTAACAAATTAGATATATTCTTTAATGACTTGACAAATGGGCATTTCAAGTACTGTAATTAAATTAATACTGCATTCGCTGCCATAGCAGGTTTAATCTTAAGTCAGTGACACAGAGTACGTATACAATTCTATAATAAGTGTTGCTTCTGTCTCCCTGTTTCACCAGTGAAACGCCTATTATGCCATAATTAAGCACAGAGTGAAACCACGGCAAAACCAGCCTCATTTCACATTAGAGAATGACCCATATGTGACATTCTGAGATTTTTACCCAATTCTATATTCTCGCAGAGTCTATAATCAACAACAATAAGCAAATTTGGTATTTTCACCATTCTCATCGCACATCGGCTATCACGAAGGCGCTACGTTTGTTCTTCGCAAACTTTGCGGAGAACATGTCTGTCTTGCGTCCACTGCGGAAGTGATCGACAGTCACAAATCCAGGAGGGAGTTTTGACGATGGGCAGTGAGCTCCAATCGCCGGATCAGACACTCCAAAAGCGTGGGGGGCCGTATCTCGATGTCTCGGTGCGTGAGACCAGCAGGTCACCGTGCACTGCCGAGCCGTAGTCGACGACGATGAGTGGCATCAGCAGCCACTGGCACCGCGCGCAACGCACTTCAGCCTGGGTATGATTTGCGCAAACACTTGGTTTGGTGCAAACAGTTTGGTGATGAGCATGCAGAGGTTGTATTTGATCCACTGCTTGGGGCTTGCACATACCAGTGACTCTAGACTTCATGGTCTTGCCTGTGCGTTTCAGTGATTGGTTCCCTCTGGGAATTTGGAGAACCCCAAAGGAAGCGTCAAACAGATTTTTACACGATTGCTTTTTTATTGCAATTATTAGTGACCGGGCTGATACTGTCAACATAAGTATACTTTCCTGGTCTGCCACCTGGTTAGGAATTAAACTCATCAATCTATTTAACCTGAAAAGCATTATAACCTGTCTGAAACACTGACGGTTTGTTGGGTTTATTTCCAGAATTGCATTCGTGTTGTGATAGTAATGAGATGTTCACGTCTAATTATTTTGCAGCTTAGAATTTGTTTGAATAGTCAAGCAGCTTTGATGGCTTTGATGGCATGTTAATAATGTTGCATATCTCTTGCCTCTGTAAACAGTTGAACATAACTCAGATTAAATAAGGAGACTGGTAATTGCATATTAAAGTTGCCTGACTAGCTAACATTTTTTTACTGCTGGGCTCACAGGTAAATAGTGGCCTCAAGCTGGTGAGAAATAATATTGTGCGCTACACTTGATGGAAACTCAGCGCTCACTGAATTACACAAGCTGTAATCCAGCTCACTCACGAGATAGATTTTTGAATGCTATTGGCAGTAAAAAAAAAATCTGATTTCGAATATTATTTCACCTCAGCATATGCCAAAATGGGACTTTCAAATTGAATAGTCACATAAGAGCTTGTCAAATGGAACTTTTTAATTGTTAAGGAATTTTTTAATTGTTTATTTTCCAGTGTATGTTTTCTGAGAGTAATCTGACAATATTTATATATTTTCGTCCGGTATTAGGAAGCCAATGGAGCTATGCACTTTTAAATCCAAATTGAAAACTCATTTCATTCGACTGCTTTTTGTGTTTAGTTTGTGGTCCTTCAAGAAATTCCAAATACATATAATACTGTATTGTAATAATCTTTAAGCTATTATATCAGCCCTCATATATTAATAATATATTCATGGTGGTCACAAACAAATGTATGATTGTGAAAAAATTGAATGAATATGCTGAAATGTAATACAGATAGAGTGTGTATCAACACGCCTGTATTACCTCTCAGTCGAATTTCATGAAAATAAAGATGCACACTGCAGTAACTGCAGTAACTGCAGTAACTGCAGACCCTTGCTTATTTGTGTAGATTGTGCTCACAGTATATATTGCATCGCCCTCTGACGTGTTTTCGGGCTTACACCGCATTTTGTTCAGCACGATGTCTGTCATTTCACTCCACGTGCTGCGATGAGGCCTGGCATTATTTGTCAGATTATTCCACTGCCTGATTGGGTTCCTGGAGATGCTCCCAGCATAAGGAGCGAAACGTTGGGACATCGTGCGGAGCAACACACGCGGCACGACCCGTAAACACATCGGAGACCGCATTACGGCACAACCGCAAACACCGATACAGTTGTGAAAAATAAGAATAGGTTTTACCGTTTCTGACAATAAAACAGGTGTTAAGATGTTCAAACACCAAATAGAAACATTTTGCAAGCAATCAAGTCCGCATTAACCTATACACTTGCAGTGGTGTTACGTCACTTTCTTTAAATGTTACGCGTTGCACGTTGGACGTGTCTGTGCAGCAACAAATGGAGCTGCACGTGCTACTCCGCAAAGAGCTTGAAGAGCAACCATCGCTCACATGCAGATTCATGCACAAGAATCAGCCTGCACTGCAGGTTCCTGCCAAGCGTGTAAACCCATACACCCTTCGCTGTACAGCACCCGGTAAGGTCTCCTTCTCACCGTCTTCACGAGACATAACGATACCCACAATGCAATTCAATCACCGTGGTACTTGTGCAAGGTTAGATGTTCTTCGAGGCCACTTGGGGAGGGCAGATGGTCCATCTGCGATTCACATCTGTCTGTTAACCCATAAAACCTGGGTCTGTCGAATACCTCCCTGAGAGGGAGCCTTTGATGTCAACAAACCCACTCATGCTGGCTTGCGTTGATTGCCAGAAAACGATAGATGAGAGGCGGTTTCACTTTCTGCCGTATGACAATGTATTTTCGAATAAACAGCTATTCAATTATTCCTTATGTATTTTGGGGAACTTTGCTGTTGACCAACAAATCATTTTTGGCAACTTCATTTCAAGACAATGTGCACACTTTTTTGTGTGCAGACTTGCCCCCAGGTATTGTGCAAGTTGCCGTGTGCTCTGCTGGGGCCGTCCGAGAAAGTACCTCCTTGACGTACTACACGGCGTTGCAGGAGGTTGGGGACATCTTGGGGGACGTCAACAACCCCATTGCCTTCATGTGCCAGGTACCGCCCTGCCAGTTGGCCTATGCTTGGCGTTTTAGACCTGCCTGATGCGTTTGATTATATCAGCGCGTTAATTAAATGCCCCCGCACTATTGAGCACAGCACCAACCCATTCTGAGGTCGTCCTACATAAACCATTACCTTCCTTTCATGCCTTTAAATACTGGGGACTATATGTACGTGCAATACACAATTTTTTTTACATCAAATAGCCGGTTTATGAGATGGCTATTGGTAGAGTGTTAACTTTGCAACAGATGAATGCAGGAGCAGAGGGCGAAGTGATGAGCAAGTTGTGGTAGTTTTAGAGGTATTGGCTGTAATAATAATTTCAACTTCTAACGTGCACAGTAATTTCTCAGTCTCCTAGGTAGTAATTTTCAGGACTTTGTCAATTCAATCCTGGATGAAAGCCTCCATATTCCATGTTAGTCATGGGGATTGGTTGACCATACTTGACCACGGTGATAATTATGGGTTGGGGAAAGTGGTAGCCGTGGTCGTTTACATAGACGAGTGAAGGTGAGAGCAGTGGACTAGTTGACAGTATCTTGCTCATCTCATCAAGGAGCATAAACTATCACGCGAACTCAGGTCATCCTCCGGTCATCCTTGCAGAAGCTTTTGGCTGGCCATCGAACAAAGACAGTCACTTGAGCTATGTACTTTTAAGTCCAGATTGAAAACTAATTTCTTTAGAACTGCATTTTTGTGTTTAGTTTGTTGTCCTTCCCCTGCACCTCCAATTAGCACGGTTTCCTACGTATGGTGTGAAAGAAGTTCAACATTTACTTGCCGCTGGGAATCAAACGTTTAGGTGTATGGCGTTCATGACGCAATGCACACACCCCTCACTACTATACCTCATGCAGAGAAGGAAAATAAATGTCGTTATTAAAATATAAACTCACTCCTGTACATCTAAATTAAGCTAAAAACAATGGTATACGTGCACATAATGCTCTTTTTCTAACTTCAGGCTTACAATCAGCAATTAAAATGAATAGATTGTCGGGGGTGAAATTTGGGGAATTTTTTAATGAATGGAACCTACAAAGAAAAAAAAAATATTAAGAGCCCTCAATAAATATCACCTCAACACATACCTGTTAATGCAGGCCCTCACGTAGCCACAAATTAGTATTGAACCACCTTCCACATCTTCTGGTGAGTTTAATGCATAAGAGCCAGCATTATCTTAATTGCTGTTAAAAAAAAAGCTGATAATATTTGTATCTGCTAGAGAACTCTAATGCGTTATAATGAATCATTTTACGGAATAAAAATATTAAATACTTGCCTTGTAAGCACAGGTCAGCCATATTTAATGGTACCTCATGTGTATTGCCATAGTTTTTTTTGTCTAGATACTAAATAGCTCTGGAATTCTGCCATGGCATAATGGTTAGCACACTGGACTTGCAATCCAGATGTCACTGGTTCATTCTGCCTGGCGTGGCAGTTGAAACAATGATACAAGTTTCCTAAATCCCTCTGTCTCTGCCAAATCCAGTTATTTTATAAAACGAGTCAATCGCAGGTCGCATTTGGTTGGGTAAAGTGTGGGTACGCCCACCTCTTCCAAGATGTTTGGCCAGAGTGGAAGATTAGGGCCACATTACACTCCAGAGGGGGCTCCCTAAGGGTTTTCTATAGCCCTCTCAGGAGCGTAGGCCCTTCTGCCAGCAGTGGCGTGAACAAGAAAATGCAGGGCTGCACCTTTATCTACCACCTATGCGTTGACGCAGTTCTGTATTTATATACCATTGTTGCTCCATGTGATGCTGGCCATTCCGTTAATTTGCATGTGCAGTAGCTATGTATATAATAAAAAAGACGTTTAATATCGTGTTTACATTATTCTCCTAAGAGATATATAATCTTATTTACATTTGTATAATGGGAAGATTGTGGGAAAACACAGTCGTGACACAGACATAAGGAATATATTTCACACCCATGTCTTGGCTATTGAAAACAATAACAGCTCTACATTAGGGAGGCTAAGCCATATGTCATATTATTCCTCACTTAAAGGCCCATTTAAGCCAAGGCCCTACTGGCATTGATTTGGGAGCCTTCAAATCAATTGAGGTGGAGGATTCTGCCGCGTTAATGCCCCTTAGTAATACAATTGCTAAAATAATAACAAAGAAAAGGTGGTGTATATGACTTTAATTGGCTATAGTGCATTTGGTGAGTGTCTCCGCATATGTTGCCTTGACACACAAACACTGCCTGCTGTGCTTGCGAGACCTGGGAAGGATAATTTTAGTATCCAACAAAAATACATCTTTCTTGCTTATGTAAAACATTACAACTCTATCGGCTAGACAGTGTTGGTCGCTTGCCATTGTTCTTAAAATAATTTATTTCAAGTCATTTGATTAGCTACAGAAACTTTTGATTGGCAGTAATGTAATTTCACAATCTTTTAAATTAGTAATGCTAACACTGCTCAGGACTCATCTTACAAATGAAGTATTGGAATTGACGGCAGGAACTTCTTGACGGGTAACACACTTTTATTAAATCTTTACGTTCACAATACAACATGTGGTCTCCTTTCTTCCGACTACACACTCCACTTAACTCGTGTAGACTCTATGGTTCTGACTACACCCAATACACTTGACTCGTGTAGACCCTATGCCTCTGGCTACACACAATACACTTGACTCGTGTAGACCCTATGCCTCTGGCTACACACAATACACTTGACTCGTGTAGACCCTATGCCTCTGGCTACACACAATACATTCGGCTCGTGTAGACTCTATGCCTATGGCTACACACACTACACTCGCCTCTGGGTTACACAGAGTCCCGGTCCCGTTAGGACAGCGGGACTAGGTACCGCAGGGCCCTAGGTCTTCATCCCCGTCTTCATTCTTCGCTGGTTACATACTGCTCTTACGCCTGTGTGCATCCCCTTTTATAGCCCCTGCTCACGAGAGACGGAGCTGATCCGGACGTCGACGTGAGCATCGTTCCCTAGTGAACCAATCACGACGCACTCTCTCTACGATCCGTTTTCCCAGCGCGTGTTAACACTCCTCTACCAATCACACCGCGCTGCCACCCGATCACTCCCTCTCAGCGCGTCACGGGCCCACAGCCAATCAGTACCCCGTAACCCACGACCCCGCGCTGACCCCTGATCCTCCACCGTCAGCGCGCGTCACCACCTACACAGCCAATCATTACGCGCTGGCATACGATCCCTAATCCCAGCGCGTATCACCTCTACATCACCCCCTCCCACATAGCTTGCAGCCGGCCCGGCTGTTAACCAACAACACAACCTAACGTCAACGCAGTAATAAAGAAACTCCACCTCCCAGTGTGCCCCGTAACGCAACAACAACAACACAACACAACACTTAAATATGAAGCAATATACAGCCCGACGAACAACACAATAAGAGCGAACACCCGAAAACGAACGCGCCACGTGTCTCTGTGACTAACGCAGTGCCGAGGCGCTCCGTCTGCCACGACTCCTCACATGGTAGGTCACACAAAGTAGCGCGACCTAGCGCGAGTCCGTCTGGCCGGTCCGTCGTATGGGACGGGACGCTGGCATACGTCCGGTGGCTCCGGCAGCTCTAGACGGCGCGGATCGGGCCTGGAAGGACCGGCCCCGCCACGAAGATCCGGCCGCCGGTGGTCGGCAGCTGTCAGTTCCGAGACACCTGGGAGCGGACCAGGCGGAGACATGTGAGGAGCAGGCAAAGACAATCCCCCCTTAGGGTCGTCGGTCACGTCACATGCTCGGCCCTCACGACACAAGGGGAGGCCATATGGAGGCGAGAACGGTTTCAGTCGGGAGGGGTGGACGTACCAACGGCGTTTTCCCCATTTTATCTGAACGCACTGGGGGCGTGCAACCCGCACTACCTCCACGGGTCCCCGCCATGGCTTCAACAATTTAGGCGACGTAGCCAAAGGTGCCTGAGGGCAATGCAGCCAGGCCCTGTCACCTGGTTCCCAGTTGTGCACGGACACCTTCCGTGCACGCAACCGCTCGTTTGCAATTTGGCGAGCCCGCGAATTAAGCCGTGCGGCCTCCCTTGCCTCTGTCAGCTTATGAATGTTACATTTAATATGCTCTGCCAATTTCGAATTAGTCCGTGGTGCGGGCAGACCCAGCTGTGTTTCCATGGGCGGGTCGGCTTCCCGACCGTACATCAGATAAAACGGGGAAAACCCCGTAGCTGCATGGGGGGCCATTCTATACGTGGCGAGGACCCCAGGAACCTGCAGGTCCCAATCAACATGTGCCTCACACACCTGCTGGCACAGCATAGAAGTCAATGTCCTGTTGAGCCTCTCAACCATCCCGTCCGTCTGCGGGTGGTACGGGGAGGTACGCACCTTCTTAGTACCCAACAGGTCGCACACCTCTTGCAGTAATTTACTCGAAAAATTTTTCCCTTGGTCGGTCAGCAAGCGTTCGGGAGCCCCCTTGTCCAGGACGTAGCCCTGGACAAAGGCGTCCGTCACAGCCGCCGCCGACTGGTTGGCGAGTGGCCACGCCATAGGCCACCGGGTAAAATATTCGACCCCCACCAACAGGTACTTATTACCCCTAGGCGTGACTGGAAAAGGCCCCAGAATATCGAGTGCGACGAGCTCGTTAGTGCGCGAGACCTGAATAGATTGCAGCGGTGGATTAGCTGCCACAGGTGGTGGTTTCCGTCTGGCGCACTCAACACAACCCTTCAGAATATTCACCACGTCACCCCCCATTCCCGGCCAATAATAGTCACGCTGAAGCAGGGCAAGCGTTTTGTTAACTCCCAAATGCAAGAGGCGTTCGTGTGCGGCCAAGACAACCTTCCCCCTCACAGCAGAAGGCACCACAATCGCGTGCCGCCGGGACAAACTGTCCCATCTCATTAACAGGCCCTGCTTAAGCACGTAGGAGCCAGTTCGTTCATGGTCACCTTCGGAACCCCCCGTCTTGCGGCGCAATGCTAGCAGGGAGCTGTCCGCCA